TTTACTCTCTGTCAGAAAAAACAATATCCAGTTTATATTTCTTTCAATGTATGGATGAATCCAGTACATTCTTTGCCCGTTTCCTCGTCTTTTAATAAAGTTGTAAGCTATAATTACTTCATCGCATCTTCGTCATCATTACTTGACATTTTTACAACGAAAATACGTACTTTCTCTGAGACGCTTTGTAGGGAGATTGAAGATTGCATGATGAAGCAGCGTGGACCGCTACCTAAGCGGGAAACCACAGACAAAGTTGCGCAGTAGACGTTTTTGTATGTAACATTGCTACTGCGCAGGCTTCCTCGTCTATGATCGTTGCTCAAGAAGTTTGCCGCAATGTATAATAAATATGAAAAATACGCCAATCGTCATTTATAGGTTGCATGCATTCGACAAATGACGCGTCCTTGGACAGTAGGTCCTCACTGGTGTTGTGTTTTTGGCATTGAGTAAGATTTCACGAAGTAGGTGTTTGTGTTCAGGGTGACGATGGCTAGGACTTGTACGGAACATTTTTCTACCGCATGAGGCTCCTTTTTTCTTTGACATTTTATATTTAAAGAAAAACTAAAGAAAACACACAGAAATATATCTTCAAACGTCACACTCTGGCTGTGTTCACACGGTGCTTGTATAATGAAATATAAACTTTATAAATGATATTGCAAAAACTACAGTTCTCAGACCAGAACCATTGTTAGATTTCACAGTTAGGGATGCCACATAGAGAATAAATTATAATTTATTGAAGTTATACTTCTTTAGGCGCGTTATGAAAAAATGATGAGAGTGAAATTTTAAGATGCGCGCGCATCACTGTAACACAAAATTTTGCTCGCTAAAGCGACCAACTTCATGCTGTTACTTTTGTGTTTACCGCACATTAAGAAAATCTACCAACAAAATAGAAATAGAATCTCTATTTAGTGGGTGCTAGTGGTACTAACGACTGCATTGTGAAGGCCTATCAAAAGTATTTATTAATCTGGAACAACGGAACCAAAGCGCGATTCAGGAGACTACAGCGCCATCTCTTGACCATTGGTGTAGTAGAACCAAAAAACACATCTTTATTTTTTGTAATAAAGTAACAGTTATTCATATTTATAATATTTATTCACATGTTTCTAGTTTGTATATTCGGAATACGTGTTTGAGTTTCATACAAGTGCATACAGTGTTTCATACAAATTAATTATATGCATGCAATTAAAAACTAATTTTAAACGATGCCAAAGAAGGATAACTTCTCACGCGCCTACATAAGTACACGCACCCATTTTCTTTATTTTATTATTATTTCACGCACACCAATCATTAAATAAAACCCCCTCCGAATGGGTTAAAAGCGCGCTTTTTATGATTTCACTGTATTTCCGACATTTCTGGACAAATAATAAAAAAACGCCCTTCAAAACCAACCAAATCAAAAGAGTTATATGACGAGAATTTATTTACTATGAAACCACGTACAGCCACAACATACAAATAACTGTAAATAATGTATCGAGGAGTATGTATGCGTTCGGCTGCGATAGTTGAAGTTAAGCAACTTTCGCAATGGCCGGTCATTGAATGGGTGTCCAAAAATTTTCTATATCGAGTTCCTCCGTGCTTCGGAAGGCACGTTAAGCCGTTGGTCCCGGCTGCATCTGCAGTCGCTAGCAACCGCCAATCCGCACTGTGCCGGGTGGAGGGTCACGGCTCAGTCTCCCTATTCCATCCATAGGGAAGTCCTGTGCCCCAGCAATGGGGACATTAATAGGCTGATGATGATGAATGTATCAATCTTTTATGTGTTTATTTGTTACTATTTATCAGTTCAAGGCGCTAATAACTACGACAGTCTCTTGACTAATGCAGTTATTAACGTTTGTTTTGTTTTGTTACCTATTTAAATGCAAAAGAAGATCTCGGGTTTTAGCCGGTTTATTATTTTTTTTTCACTACACAAATACTCCGTCTTCACAACTGAAATACTGTCATTCTTATGAAAAACATAAAGAGCATGAGCCGACAGCCCTACGTCCTACGTACGCCATACGTCTTGTGTACAGTGACGAACAATGGTTACCTTATCTCCACGCAATGCGGGTTCCGCCATTGTAACGTGATTGCAACTGGATGTAAATCAGGAGGTCACATGAGGACATGCAATTTACAAAACAAAAAAAAGCAAACGTCTTCCAAATTTCAGGCAGAGGACTCGCTAATGATCACAGCTAACTTAGTGCCAAGGAAGATAACAGCTGAAGATAAGATTACTATACTAGCAGTTATTAGTTATTACTTTATGCAATTATCATCAATAGCCTATGAATGTCCCCGCTGTTGGGGTACACGCCTTCCTTATGGATGGAATAGGGAGGCTGTGAGCCACCACGCGGGCTCAGTGTGGATTGGCGGGTGCCAACGACTGCAGATGCAGCGGGGACCAACGGCTTAACGTGCCTTCCGAAGCATGGAGGAACTGGAGATAGAAGATTTTTTGGTAACCCATCCAATGACCGACCACTACGAAAGTTGCTCAACGCAGCCGAACGCGCTAATCGCCTGCGCCATCGAGCTCCTCATAATGGCATTATAGACAACCTATTCTCGACAAATTTCGTTATTTTTATGAAGCCCTATGGGGTAGTGAACTAGGAGGGTGGTTAGCTCGTTCTGGAACCGTGAAAGTTAAAAACCCCAGCAAGTCAAACGGTTTTACTGAAACCTTACGTGTTTGTTAAAACTATTTGATGTCCCACCATTGAACGGTTATCAAACAGCACTGCGCACTTTGATTCGGTATGCCGCATGTCGCCTTAATAGGGGTGATGACGGGGTACAGTAAACGAAATTCTATTTAGTCCGTCAGTTAGATGATCAAAAAATAATGGACACGTATTTTTTCTTTGGGCAATCAACCAAAAAATGACAAAGTTATAGCGCGTCAAAGTTTGGGAGTAGGGGCTCGTGACGTCACTTTTGAGTGAATTTTCCCTTATAAGTGTACACAAACGTGACGTCATGCGACTTTTCAAATCAATATATCTCTGCAATGTTTATATTATGTGAAAAAAGAAAAAATACGTGTCCATTACTTTTTTATAATCTACCTGATAAACGAAGAAAAAAAAATTAGTCATCATCTCTATTGTGGCGCGATTACGATTAGTGAGAAAGAACTTTCTCACTGTGTCAGTATAAGCTGAGGCAGAGTCCTGATTGGCTGTCTTAGATTTTTATTTCTTTTTTATTTTTTGTTTCCTTAGGTTAAGTTTTCTTCATTTTTATCTTGTATCTCATTTTTATTTTATTTTGTATTTTTATTGTTGTATTTATAAGTTTTTCTTTTGTTAAGATGACCAATAAAAGGTTTCATTTCATTTCATTACACTTGGTTGGTGACCCGAATACGAGTGCCAACGGAATTCGGGGAAAGGGGTCGACGAGTACGCCCATATTAAGATAGATTTCCTTTTATTTACCCGACACCGTCTTTCATCCCGTATTCCAGTATAAATATTGCTTCGGGTGCCCGAATTCGAATGTCTTTCGTGCACTCGAATACGGGCTACCGACCGAATGTAATTGCGGCATTAGAGTTGTGATTGTGACGGCGATATCCTCGTATTTATTACGTTAATGTCCTGCGTTTTTAAACAAATCAAAATTTTACGACTATCTGACGACACCTATGATTTATAGGCTAGTTGCGTGAACTGGATTTTATACAAATAAATTGAATGCTTTACGGTTACTTTAATGTAGATATAAGGTAAGCGTGTTATTTCAATGCCTCATATAGTTTAGGTTAACCGGTTTGGATAGAGAGAAGAGTTGCAAAAGGATTTGCAATGGGCACTGCTGCGAGGACCTTAGCCTGGTAACGTAAAGTAATGATAGCGGCAAACTTTTTAGCAAAATCACAGTTAAACTTGCGCAGTAGTTTAAGTAGTAGAAGTTGTTTGTATGTAACATTCTGCTGCGCAGGCACCGCGGTATGTATCTTAGGATCTGTTCCTGTCAGCTAAATGTAATAGCGGCGACCGAATCCCAAGACTCTTTACAGGCCAATAATAAAAAAAAAAATCCAACACGCTCACCAATTAGCCTAGCCCCAAAGTAAGCACTGTAAGGCACACAAGCCTTATGGGATGCTAGGGTAACGGATAGAATACACTGTACATATATAAGTATATTTATATAGAAATACATATTAAACATCCATGACTGGAGGAAAAAGGCTTGTATTCATCACACAAACTTCTGCCCACACCGGGATTCGAACCCGGGACCTCTCGAGTAGGCGACACCTTGAAACGCGGCGTACAAACCACTCGACTACGGAGGTCGTCAATGGCCAGCAATAGCTCTTCTGATTGTTGTTATGCCCTCCCATATTGCGAGCGCCCTTCTTCAGCTCATCAATCTCATCCAATAGGGAACCGATCGTCAAAAGAAGCGCATATGCACTAGTTTTTAACTAGACAGCGCTGCACCGTCCCCTTCTCATGGGTCGATCGCATCCGATGTAGCCTCAAAGGCCTTCCGGGTCAGAGGCAGCAGCAACGGAGTGTGTTTTAGTCACTAAGGGTCTGACATAACCTTACAGCCTGCTGTAAGGTATCCATGAGGATTTCACACTCGCACCCCCGCATGGGAGGAAAAAAACCACAACAGTAGTATAGGCAGCGGTCAACTTCTTAAGCAAAACCACAGGCTAATTGATTATGAAAATTGACCAATGCTTACCAATTACTGGGTTTCGGTTAAAAAGGCTCATTTTACTATTAGAAGGAGCCATCATTTACCTATAAATAGTACCTAAAGACTCTATAAGCAATTACTAGTAGACGGCTCACTATCGAATGACAAAGAACAGCTAAAGCAGCAATAGTGTGAAATCCATAATAAATAATAATGAGCCCCATTATTGGCATGCTTTATGTTAAAGTGGGAGACACAAAAAACTCATTTCATAATTACTTGCGCATAGACGTTTTACTGACCTGAATGTAAGTGCGGCGGAGCCATAGCCGGGCTGGTGCAGCCGCAGAGCGGGCGAGTAGGGCTGCGCGTACGCCGCGGGAGGCGCGCGCGGCTGCGGCGGCGCCACCACCGCGCCGGCCGGCTTGCCGCCGTATGCCAGCGCGCCGCCGCCGTGCCCGTGATCCGTCTGCCCGGGCCTGGAGACAAAACAGAAATATAGATTAATAAACCATACGTCAAGTGTAGGCTCAGCTTCGGGAAAGAACAGTGTGCTTGATTCCCAACAAGGAATTCACACCGCCACCGCCTGTAAGAAGAGCATCATCATCAACCTAGATTAATAAACCATAAGTCAAGAGTGAATGTGTCTGGCTCAGCTTCGAGAAAGAACAGTGTGATTGATTCCTAACAAGGAATTCACACCGCCACCGCCTGTAAGGAGAGCATCGTCATCATCAGCCTATTAATGTCCCCACTTCTGGAGTACTGGCCTTTCCTATGGATAGAATTGGGAGATTGGTCCATGATCCACCATTCTGGCCTAGTGTGGATTGGTGGGTGCTAACAAGCAGCCGGGACCAACGGCTTAACGTGCCTTTCAAAGCACGACGGAGCATGAGATAGTAAATTTTTGGTCACCCATCCAATGACAGACCATTGCGAAAGTCGTTTAACTACAATGATAGCAGCCGAAAGCGCTAACCGCTGGCGCCATCGAGCTCCTTATATGCAGGCATAGCCCAGTTTTTAATGTGTAGAATCACAGATCAAAAACCTCAGTGATTTCCTCAAAAAGATCCGCATGATAAGCACCAAACAGGGGCATTCATATTCAGGGGTTAACGAATATAAATAAAGTCTTCTGCGACAAGATCACGTTTTCTCAACTTGTTTGCATTCTCGTTATATTGATATTCGCAGCATATCGGGTACAAATCAGTATGTGTTAGCTTAAAATAGAAACGTTGAAATCTCGATAGCGCAAGCACAGCGGCGCATTTATTCTCTGGTTGCGTTTGTACGGTTACGCAACTTTCGCTTTTAGTTGTCGGAGACGGGTAATATAGGAAGCATTCTGATTCTGGCGGTCGCGACCCAGCAGCCGCTGCCGATATGAACTTTGACCGTGGCAATTGCTTGACCAGCCCCCCTGGCATGACCACAGAAACGGGATATGATAAAGCGATATATCGTCATTAACTATCAGACTACAGTGGAGTTTGACAGTAGTCTGACAGTTAATTTCGATATATCGCTTTATCATATCCCGTTGCGGTGGTCATGCTAGAGGGGCAGATTTAAGTCAGGCTTGGCGGTGCTATGACCCAGGCCCAATAGAGAGAATCAGATAACAAGAAGTAGTCAAAAAATGATTTACTTATTTTGAAGCTACGATACGAACACAATTCTAGTTAAATAAAAGCTTGTAAAAATAGTACCAATTCCAATTCTTTACAAAAAATTGTTTCCGTGCTGATAAAGGTTAAAAGCAGACGATTTTTATTAAAGATAGGTCCGACAAAAGACTCCACTCCACCTGATCTTAAGTGACGGTGGAGTCCAGACGCTAGATAGCTGATACAGCAGTTCTACCTGCCACACCAGCCGTCCTCACTCTGCCGGCCTGCAAGTTGCTTCTTCACGCCTCTTTTAAAGGATCCTCGGTTGTAAGAGGGAGGGAACACGTGAGCGGGCAGAGCATTCCATTTACGGATAGTGATTTCAAATATGCTTTTGTGTTACATTGTATTGTATCCGCTATGGCAAAAAAAACTTGGATTTAATTTAGCTCGTCTCCTTCAATAAGGCGTAGGTAATCTGTGGCATTGGATCACCGAAAAACAATCCGAATGAATGACCACCATTCATTAGCAACGTACATTAATCACAATCAGACGTGACCTCATATCCGGGTGATTGAGATGGTTTATAATTTATTAATTAAACCATTAGCGAAATCAGTTATCGTGTTATTATTATTATTAATATCATAGTTTCAGTATTTCTAGTCAAGTGACAAAGTCGAAGGATTTGTCCGATATTCGGGTACCTATTCGGTACCATCAATGAACGCATATAAATACTTATATACAAGATTTTGCAAATGGATGTGATAAATTAGGTAAATATGACGAATAGCGAAAAGCATACCAAAGCATCTTGACAGACCTGGGGGCCATTCGCCTAACGGGATTGCTTTATAAAACACTATCGCTTACGATTTCATTTTGTATTTCTAGCCACCTGAGGTTTTCAAATAGCTCGCACTCTATTTTTTTTCTTTTGCATTGGTAATAACAATGTTAAAGAAAATGAGCATGAGGTATTTGAAAACCTTCGGCGGTCAGAAATAACAAACTTAATCGTAAGCGATAGCGTTTTCTAAAGTAATCCCGTTAAGCGAATGGCCCCCTGTTTCCATTTACAGCATGGGTTGGCATGGCACCGACACCAAATGTTAATAGTACTTTAGATTTAAGTTATAATAAAGAATATGTATTATTCATTACTTTTTAGTAGTTTTGTGTTTATGAAGTCGATTTTTTTTTTCGTTAAAATAAAGATTTTTACCAAAGGACAACGATAGAGGATAGGAAGATAATAATTTTCTATGTGTAGCATTGTATTAAATACCTTATTTATTTTTTTATCGGCTAATTAAACCTGTTAGTCATATTAATTTAACACGCATATTTCTTGTTTGCCGGCCTTTGAAGGCTTTCTCTGACTCACTGGAAAGGTGCTCGCGCAGTAGTTAGGGTTGCTAGTAGGTTTATATAAACCATTTGTACGTGGTTATATCCTAAATATGAAAATAGATAGAAAATATGGTTTAGTATAAAAACATCTAAAAGAATACTTTGTGTTTGTGCAAGATTAGTCATTTTTAATTAGAGATTAAAGGAGTATGCTAATTTGTAGGGAAAAAACCAAGCCCGTCATTAACGATATGTGTCTCAAATTTTAAGTATTTTTAACTGAAACAATATTGCATAGGGAGCATCATCGAAGTTTATGGCTGACTGAGTGAAATTGCTATGTATATTTTTTCGATCGGCTTTTTACTTATTTTCCCTATCATATTATTCCCTATTATATTTGTCATAATCACTTCGCTTAATTAGACGACGCTGTTATGAAGCTAATTTGACTAGTTGCAGATGCAAGCATATTTTAGTTTCAGCCGGGGCAAAAAATATAGGATCCTTTATACCCCGGAAAATGTTAGGTTCCTGTGAGATTTTCTATAAACTAAAATTAACATGGACTAGATCGCGGGCAGAAGCTAGGTGTGAATAGATATTATAATCTTTGACAACCCTATAACAGTAGAAGGCACTTTCGAGTTTGGTCAAGACGCAAGCCCGCAGCAGCCGCACCGCCACTTTCCAAAGATAGTACGATACACACAACAGTCTAGAAACAACCTCGAACAGTTATAGGTAGAGGCAAACTTCTTGAGTAAAACCCATAGGGCAACACAGAAGGGAGTAGCCATAGCGACTTATTAGTATTCAAATCATCTGCGTCTTTTGCGGTATACCCTGTTTAACGTTCACGAATAGAAAACAAAACTGTAATTACAACACTCACACATATACAGATTTCGAATGCATATAAACAGCCGTAGTTTATAATCAACGACCATATGATAGACAAGGAAGCCTGCGCAATCAAAAATAAATAAGAAAAAGTCTTTTGCGCACGTTTATTTGTCTGTGGTTTTACAATAGTGCAACACGGCCGACGCTCCAAAAAGGGGAGGAGGCCTACACAGCTTTCCCCTCTGTCAGATTGGACATACAAACGATGCATGTGTGCAGGATTTAAAGATGTATTATACATCTTGCCTCCTCCCCTTCTTGGAGCGTCGACCGTGTTGCACTATTGTAAAACCACAGACAAATAAACGTGCGCAAAAGACTTTTTCTTTTGTTATGTTTGATTGCGCAGGCTTCCTTGTCTATCATATGGTCGTTGATTATAAACTACGGCTGTATATATGCATTCGAAATTGGTTCAGCTTACAGAAAAAAGATTTCGTGAAGGCATCACCGATTGGTTCTTGCTGTGAAAGCCGACTAGGTGCGAAATACTCCCAGGAATGATACACAACGTTACACCCGCACTCCAACGATAAACTCAAGAAATGTAAATACCAGGCTGTTTGGAATTAGTATCCTTTTCCAAGTAATTAGCCTCAGAGCATACTCCTCGATCAAAGCAAGCAACGAATGTAGGCATAAACTCATAAAACTGGTGTAATGAAATTACTTAATTAACTATTCTGTTGTAAATAAATAAATGGATAGTTCGAGACCGAAACAGCGATCAAAAGTTTCTTAATATAAATCCGGAATAACTCCAGATTTAGACTATATACCTATCATTCCGCGATATACTGAATATGATTGAAGTTTCAAAATACGTAAACATATGTTACGGAGCAGAAGTAAAAATCTAAAAACGGTGACAGTTTAATAAAAACGACGGGTTGCACTCCGGGAGTGCCGGCAGAAGTGAAAACTTGAATATTAACGTTGTGCATTTTTGATATTTTGGAATGGTTAGCGAATAATTTTGCACGAATTGCTTTAATTATCAGTATATAAGTACTATCATGTATGTGGTACAATACAATATTTATTTATTGCGCTATCGTCAATGATATTATAAACTTCTTGTTTATATAATATCATTGGCTATCGTACACAAACATGACAATTTATATTACATTAAAAAAGTTTATCTGTCTGAAAAATCAACTTACATGAATCACGTTTAAGCGCACCTAGCGACATCTATTGTAAAAAAATGAATTTTCTTCGCAATAAAGCTGCCACGTGGACGTTCTAAATAGAGACTTATTATTATATTACGATAAGATAAAATATTACTATGTTTCGTCCAATATATTGAAAGTCAACAACCTTTCCAATTTTATTGTGTGTCATGATGCGATCAGCCCACGTGTTTAACCTGACGCGAGTTTAACATTTTTTACCCATACAAAAAAAGTATACAACGCCGCTAAAGAAGATTTCACTTCAAAAAATCCAGCGGGTGATAAAATAAAATTTAATCACAAATAACGGTTTTGAGGTAACTGACAGAATGAGCAATCATGAGGTACTTATGTTAAAGGAAAATAAACAAAAATTCTCGGAATAGTATATTCGTGGAAGGCGATGGGTGC